TGGGAGCGCCGCAACTGCGGCCAAGCTGTATGAAGTCGCTAGAAGGCAGCGCCGCAACTGCGGCCGAAAGCGCGCATAGTGAGTCAAACGAGCGCGGCGTCACGCGATCGGTTTCCGCAACTGCGGTTCCATGGCTGCGCAATCCCGCAACTGCGGTGTCAAGGCTGCGCGGACCACCGCGGTTGCAGCTGCGCCCCCTTGCTCGCGTCGAACCGCCCAGGATTCGGATGGGCGTGCAGCATCTTCCAGAACGTGAACGTTCCGTGGCCATCGCTCTTGCCGAGACCTGCCCTCGGGCCCCGCACGGGATGCGAGTGCGGCTCCACCTCAGACGTGTTGAACTTCGGGCTAGACCAGGATGGGTGGACGCGAATGCCCGAGCCGTCGTCGCGGATGAGGACGAAATCCCACTGGGGCAGAGGGATTCTTTGCGCCTGTCCTCTGTCCAACCCTTTCGTGTGCCTCATGTTGTCGAGACTGCTAGGGCACGGGCGGCACTCGCAGCGGACCAACCCGCGACTGCGGTCATTGTCAGGGCCGCACACGACGCGCAGCATTGTAGGTCCATCCATCTGCGCGACCATCTCCAGCCAAGACCACTGCACTTTGACAGTGTGGTCCCAGTCCCAATCCCTGTTGTCCTGCGCCTTCCCCTTTGCGCGGTACTTAAGGATCTTCGAAATTTCCTCCGCAACTGCGGTACCTCCGAAGACGGGCGTGCGGCTGCCGAAAGGGTTTTCTCGGTCTTCGTACTCGTCTCGGAACCACTTCATGGCCGCGTTGTGCTGCTTATAATTGCCGTTCCAGTTCGCCCTGAAGTTCTCGAAGAATTCCAACTTGAAAATTGGCAGCGGCTCATTGCGCACAATTTGAAACAGCGCAACTGCGCCTTGTTCTTCGCGCCCTGGGGGAAGAAGGGGACCGCCTCCTTTGCCCGCCGCTGTTGCGGCCGCGGGCTCCGCGGCAGGAGAACCTGCCGAGGCACTCGAGCGGCCACCTTCCCATGCATTCCACCAGCCACCCTCGTCGTCCCACCCGCGGGCGCCCTCCATTCCCCAACCCTCGCATCCGTTGCCGCCCCATCCGCCGCCCTCCCATCCGCGACTGCGGTCACTTCCGTCGCCGCCATCCTGCGCTTTTCCTCTCCATCCGCCCAGAGAATCTCCGCCGCCCCAGCCGCCACTGCGGTCACCTCCGCCGCCGTATCCGCCACTGCGGCCGCCCCAACCCCCACTTGTTCCCCAACCGCCGCCGCTGCTCTTTGAAGAATCCGCAACTGCGGCCAGTGTTTCCTCTTCCGCTTTGTCATCCCACCCTGCACGCATCTCTGCCCCGACTGCAGGCCGCGGAGGCGGGCGCGAGCCCGCCCAACCGCCGTGAAACCTACCGTCGGCGCGGGCTTGAGCCGAACGTGCATGGAGGAGGAAGATGAGGAGGAGGAGGGTGAATGTGAGGAGGATGATGCGTTCCTGGGAGGTGTGCCTTCGCGTGCAACACAAGAGCCCTGAGAATTCCTGAGGCCCCTCCAACAGCCAAGGACGCGGATGACAAGAAAGTCGAGAAGATTGGGAACCGATTGAGGATTAAGAGGCGTGCGACGAAAGGGATGATGATGACGTAGAGGAAGATCAGTGAAGGGGAGGAGCGGACAGGAATTATGGAGGAGTGATAGCAGAGGAGGAAGAGGGGGAAGGGGGAGGAGGAGAAGGAGGAGGAGGAGGGAGAGGAAAAGGGGGAGGAGGAGGAGGAGGAAGAAGGTGAGGAGGAGGAGGAGGAGGAGGAGGAAGAGGAGGAGGAGGAGGAGGAGGAGGAAGAGGAGGAGGACGACGACGACGAGGAGGAGGAGGAGGAGGAGAGGGAGAAGGAGAACGGGGACAGGAGGACAAGGACGGAGAAATAACACAAATGAGGGGGAGGAGGCGGAGGAGGAGGAGGACGAGGAGGAGAAGCGGGAAGAGGAGGAGGAGAGGGGGGAGGAAGAGTGCGCGTGAGACTGGGAGAACGAGGTAATTAATTAGAGAGGGAACGGGGGAGGAGGGAGGACAAGGAAGAGCATACAGCGATGAGAAGAGGAGACAAAAAAAAAAGAAGAAAAAAAAAAAAAGAAAAACAAAAAAAAAAAAGGAAAAAAAAAAAAAAAAGAAAAAAAAAAAAAAAAAAAAATAAAAAAGCAAGCATACAGCGACGAGAAGAGGAGAAGGAACAGACGAAGGCTCCTGCTGATCGCAATTCCGCATCGTTCAAAGCAGTGCCGGGGCACTGCTTTGAACGACTGGTGATGTTCAAAGCAGTTCCCCGGCACTGTGTTCCATCGTCGCCGTTATAAGGGCTATTGGATTAGGGTGGCTGAGTACTGCTCGCTCAGATTGGGCTGCCCCACATTAGCGTTCAGACAGAAGTGGCACACGTGTGCTATCGTTAGGTCGGGCATGTCCCCCTACAGGCGGTTTTTGGGCGACAAATTTTAAAAGCCTCAAGAAATGCCCCCAAGTAGTCAAAA